AAAAAAAAAATTGATATTGATTGCAGAGAATTTGAACCTCAAACCAAGAATGATCAAATGAAATAAAGAAGGTCATTACATACTTCTCAGGTGAAAATTTCAAGAGACAGAGATAACAATCATAAATAAAGAGGCATGAAATATGGGAGCATCCAGTGATATAAGACAAATATTAATGGAAATGAAATATCAAATAAGCAATAATATAATTATAACAAGAACATTAATAACCCATTGTTATGAAGAGATACATCAACTAGGCAGAAAATTAAGCAAAGAAATAGTAGAACTGAATCAAAACTGTGAACAAAAGCTTAGAAGATTATTACAGTGTGTTCCACCACCACCAACAGAAGAATATACATGATTCTCAGCTGCACATGGGACATTCTCTAAAATAAACAACATAATATGCTTAAATAATGGCAAAAGTATTGAATATTTCCCATGCATAGTATTTGACTATAGGGCAATGCAATTGTAAATTCATTGCAAAAGAAACTACAAAAATTCCATAAATACATCAAAATTAAATAACACACTCTTGAACGATGAAGGGAGTTCACAGATGACATTAAAGAAATAAAACAATATTTATTATAGAACAAAAATGCAAATGCAACATACTGGAAACTATGGAATGCAATGAATGTAGTCCAAAGAAGGAAATTTATTATGGTGAAATATCCTATCAGGTAAACAGAAAGAAAGTTACTCTACCTTGAAAAAGAAGATGGGAGTTGATATTCGACAATGAAAGATATCCCTTAATGGAACAGTTAACTTTTAGAATTAGAGAAATTCCTGGAAGTGAAGAAAAAGTGGAAACTTTTTTTAAAAGTGAAGACTTCAACTTAAAATGTGTATTGAAAGAATCTCAGAAAAAAGATCAAATATTGAAAATTGCACAATCAAAAGATGAAATAATGGAAAAGATTCTCCAAGAAATAACTTTTTAAAATAGTGTAGAGTGAAACCTTTGTCTTTTGTCTTACACAGCAGATCAGTTCATATGCTGAATTTTGTTTCTTATGAAGAATACTCAGTTTTTAAAAACTGACAATGGGGGCTTTCTTTTAAGGCTTCTAATTTAGTGTTTTGGATTGATGCCTAGTATTTGGTTTACTTTAAAGCTTCTTAGTTGATTTCCATGTGCAGCTAAGATCGGTAACTGCTAAACTAAAGAATGTGTTATGATTATGGGTAAGATTCTAGTTAGGTACACTTTGGAAGAGAAGGGCAAGGAATATATAATTCATAATTAGTTTATCGGAAAAAGATGGGAAATGTATGGAAAGAAGTAA